TTCGATTGTTACGAACGTAGATGCAAGGTATCGAAGCAACGCTAGCTATGTGTAATTTCCCGTACAAGGTTTCCTAACGTACATTAACTGTGGAGGCTGCACACGTCAATGGCAGAAGTCCACGTACACTGTATTTCGAGTCTAGTACATTTGTAATTATTTTATTATTATTCTGTACTACAGGGGATCCTAAAGTTTATAATAATAATAATACCCCTGGACAATTCACACGTTATCTAGTTTCAAGGTAAGCAGTGCCTGTGTTATGGGTACTAGACAACTGATAAAAATACTGAGATATTTTTTATATACATTTATAACATACATAAAAACACCCAGACCAGATAGAAATAATTATGTAATAGCTAATAATTCATAATTATGGCGTAACCCTGATGACTATTCTACGGAACCCAGTTTGTTAACCACTGCTATAATAATACTAGGTATATAGTTTAAATTCAAAAAGAAATTTTAAATCTATAAACAGTACGAATACACTCTATAGATTAATATCGTTCCCATGAATTCTAAACAAAGGATCATTTTCGTTGTCCATTTTCTGTAGCGTAATAAATAAAATGACTTGTTTTATAAAAATACATACGTGGCCGATAATAATTTCGTAATTTACGGACGTTTCATCTGCAAAATCATAGTATATAATAATATATATAATAGTATATAATAATAATTCTATAAAAAAATATAGACATTTAATAAATGTCAACATTTTTTAAAAAGAATACACACATATATTTGACAAGAATATGGAGAAGTTAAAATCAGGTTGATTGTGATTAAAAATTTTAAACATATTCAGCATTTCTTTATTTCATTGCATATTACAAACAAGAAAACTTTATTCACTAATACATGATCATTCGAAAAATGACTGATTATCTACATGAAATAAACTTTTGAATAATTTAATGACGATCTCATGGTAATAATATAAAACTACTATAATTAAAATTGGTATTAATTAGGTATACACCACAAATATATTATGCCGAATTAAATTAAATTTAAAATAATATAATACTCAATAAACTTATTTAAACGATATAAAAGTGTAAATTGAGAGATATTGCCTAATAATCTCATATACATTTAAAAAAGTATCAATTACAAAAACATATCATGATTTCCGTATAAAACAATAATGTGAAACCTAAGTACAAATAAATAAAATAAAGATAAATATTTAGAACGAAACTTGAAATATAAACTTCGGTGTTTGGTACTACAGGAATAATCGTGAAGTTGCATTATTCATTACATCAAGAAAGCAACGAATTATATTTAACATTGAGTACCAAGCTCGTATAATATACCATTATTTTTATTACCATTTGTGCGTCATCTAACTATATGATTATTGTGAATTAAACATTAGAAATAGAAAAAGAAGAAACTGAATTAAATTATTATTGTTTTGTTGGCATAATGTGTGAAATATATATATATATTAGTAGTTGGTGAAACTCTAACACCGCGTCCACAGTACATTATATCAGTATTAAGTTTTATACATTTTATAAAACATTACTTTTATAAAAATATCACAAGTGTTTCTATCAAAAGATACGTTCTAAACACTATTTGAACTCATATTCCGGTGGTTTCGCGGAGTTATTAGATATATGAAAGTAATAAATTTTATATATATATTTATTGGTATACATAAATACCATGATTATTGAATATATTAGATAACGCTCAAATGGAGGCTATACGGAGAGTACATCTAGACGACTTCAATAGAATGACCATCTCAGATGGTAAATTAATATTTTTCCATAGTACACCAATGAGGAATATATTTATTGAAATATCCAAACACTAATGTAATTGCAACTGCTAACATCAACGTTTATTTGGATAAGTTATTTTCTGTACTTAAACTTGTAACAGTGAGTAAAAGTATAACAAATTTTGATCCACTCTCCATTGGGGCATTAGGTATTCATATAAAAGTCATCACAACAGTTATTACTAACATTCTAGTTTATCTTTCTAATATAGAGCTGTAAGCCTAAATACTTTACACGTATAACAAACTTCCTAAATTTTATTTTAGCAGGCAAAACATTAGGCACAACATTTATTAATTTTTCATATATTCATTTCAAAATTCTATATTTATTTGTAACCATTGATCATTGGTCCTATCAAAGTCGCCTATGTATATGTATACATGCTAGGGTGAGTATAAACTACAATCATGCGCATGCAACAATTACTATAATTAGATCACAGCTACTGTGACACTAAGTAACTATTGTTACATTACAGTAATTCATATTTTGTGGAGCAGTTCCATGTCTTGATACTCAATACATTGTTGTAGCACTCGTTTCTGAGCATATATCACGAATTGTGAATACTCACCCTTAAAAATACTATATCAGTCAAACATTTTCCTTCAGTAATGACTAACACCAATAATGCCCTCAACTTACGCCCGGTCCGAGCCATTCATAATAAAACTTATCCTAAATTAGCAAAACAACATAATTCTAACGATACATCACTACGTCGTTATGTTTGACTAGGATTCACAGTAGGCCATGGTTGTAAATTAACTTCATAAAGTTCGAACTATTATCTATATGAAATATAGTTTTACAACAAAAGTGATACATTTCTTCGAAACGACGCAAATGTTTTAACAGGTCACTTATTCGTTTTTAATAACATTCAAGAGTTTTATACAAAAACTGTTCTTTTACCTATTATTCAAATCTTATTATAGAGAGACACTCATTATAAGAGTACCACCAGAGTTGACTTGTAGCAGAAGTATATTCAACAGTCACCCACTATTGAAATACCATGTACCTGACCATCTACAACCATCGTCGTCTGCAAGTATTTAACTAATTCATCGTAACTACATCCTTACAAAAGACATGTACACAATTTTACCTATTATGAAATATGTAGGTATTTTTCCGAAAAAGTACGATCATCTGTTGATATATGTATATAGTGAGACTATATACATATCAAATACCTACGGCATATACATAGCAAATATCACAAAAAATGTGTAATTTCATAATATATAAAATTGTGTAACAATTGCCGTCGCTTTTATTAACATAATGTAAATTCGGTAGATATCGTCACTTGAGGACTATTTACTAGCATTAAAATTGTTCACTTATTATGCATTCCAGAAATAAATCACAAAATTTAATATACTCATTATCACATACTTATACTGTCTCTCAAATGCAATGCATGCTTTGAACTTGTATTGGACTGATGCATTGGACTAATGTAACATTACGAAAATTAATAGACCACTTTTAAAACTTTATTTTAATTATAACTTTCATAATTTTACAAAGTTCAATAATTCAAAAGCAAACACCACATTTTAATTGGAATCGTGTCGGTCAATATAGTGAATATCCTCGAGCGATAGATAAACCGTATGTACACACTACTCCAAATAACAAGCCCCATTTACTAGATAAACAAGCTCAAATTAATGAATCGGTGAAAGGGTTTAATTTTAAATGACATTATTAATTTTTTAAATAATATGCTTTATTTAATTCAAAGTCAAATTTAAAATTATTTATCAAATAGGATCTTTCGGCCTCTCGTGCACTTATTTTTATTAATATCTCTACCATTCATTTCGGTTAGTTTCTTAAGCTCAGAAGTGTAGCTGTTTTATGTTGTTCTATACATGTTTTACGTTATTATCAGTCAAATGGAACTTTGTAGTTGGAATAGAATGTATTTTAAGTATATAACACAATTAAATAATATGTTAATATGTTCAAACTTAAATTATATTTGCACCATTAGTTATTTGATAAGAGATTAAAATAATCTTAAATACACTCATATAAATAAACAATGTACAGTTGGGATCCCGGCTGAGTTCATGCTTCATTCCTACACAATCGTCATAAAACAAGCTATCAATACATTTACCGTCCAAGGGCTACCACAATAATTTACAATATATAAGTTATTACGTTCCTTTAGATAAAGAGAAAATAATTAAAGTTAATATTGTGATGTAGATGACAACCACAGCCGAAATTCGACAGATACTTCTATATATCTCTGCCACTAGAGAAATTTCATACAATACATATCTATTTATATTTTATTTATCATATTTTTTTTCTATACTAACAACTAACACTACTAAAATGAATTTGGTGGTTATATCTTGTACATTAATTCTATATGAGATTAAGCTTAGACCGGTCCGGCTAAACGGAAATAAATAAAATCTGCTCGAAAGCCGGCCGGTACTCGATGTATACAAAATGTATACAAAATGAGCGAGATAGTTTTACAAGTCAAAGCGCCAAGTAAATGTAGTCCAGCTAAAAAAGCATTTGATTAATATGAATGGCATATGTATTATAATTTAAACATAGTCCATGACGTGCCGTGCACTGCTTCTGTTCCAAGGAATGATCAGAACCGTGAAATTTGTACGTGACGTGACCAACACACACAAGTTATGTAGAGAGGTGACGGTTTCAACGCGTATACATTGCAAAAAATGCACTGCTTATATAGAAACAGTTGTTTAGTACTGTAGGTACTTGCAACTGTAGGTAACATTCTGCATCATACACGCGCACCGAATGACCTAAGGATGATGTGAATAGGTAACAAATGGATTTTGAAATACCAACTCCTAATAAAAACAATTCCTAATATAAATTGCCGAATGCAACCAAGCTCTAATTTGAAGTTGAAAATACTGACTCTCCACAAAAATCCGTGCATTTGGAAATGTATTTTTTTTTTCTTAATCATATATATGGCTTATTTTGATGTAAATTGAGAGTATCGAGAGTAAGCGGTGTACTAAACTGCTGGACCACCGTGGTCGTCAAATGTTTAAATCTAAAAAATCGTAAAGTTATATTGAATAAATTGGATCAATATGTATCGTAAATATAAAATCGTAAAAAATAATAGTATATAGGGGAAAGATAGTTGGAGACCTGATAATATTATTCATTAAGAATAACGGACCGATCTTTGAATTACCCTATTTGTCCATATAATAAAAATATTACACATTGTAAAAATAAAATCAGATCAATTCGTAAAAACATGTCAGAATTAGTAAAATTTTACTATATCAATGAATAAAATATTATTAACAAGTCAAAAATTAATAAAACACAAATGTATAGTCCAATAAACTTAAAAAAAGTCATAGATTTCTGATACATTCTCTATTTAAAAGAACAAAAAATACATTTCCAAGATGGCGTCCTATTCGTCAACAGCGAACAAGTTATGTGTCGATGGGTACCGCTGGTTTGGTTGAGGTACACACGTAAATGAAGTCTGTCTCGGAGTCGATGCGTGCTCGGCTAGCCTTACGTTAGGCGGTAGCAACTTGCCACACTATCAGGTGACTCTTGGAGGCCCGCTCAGCGAGCGAACTGTGACCACTGGACGACCCATCTTCCGCGACTATTACGCTATCTTCCATCTCAGAGTCGGCTGTTGGAAATTATTATTTTATTAATATATCTTGTCCATCTACATATTTAATCCGCGTAATCAATATCCTTTTCATTGAAAGAAATCCACTAGAGCCTAATTGTAGAATCTCTGATTTAAATCGTATTGGAGATTATTTTTATTCTGGTAGTTTTAGCAGTAGTTGAAGTATCTTGCACTTCTCCTTTGCTGACTTTACATTATACCGTAAAGTAAAAAACAAAAACTAATAAAATAAGGGTTCCATATATTTAAAGATAATTTCTAAATAGTTATAAAACCGCATATTTCGCCTGATAATAATAGGCTAAACCTGTGCGAAGCGGTAGGACAACAATGGGTTGATATGTCTATCACATAAAATATTTAGGTAAAAGGATAATTAATTCTAACAATAACTAATTACCCAGAGCTAAGCATCTCCAAAAACATGAAAGGTAATACTTTTCATAACAACGACACATTAAAAAACTTATCTACAAAATTAATTGTGAAAATAGCTGTATAATAATGCTACAAGTTAAAATCCCTAGGCCAAAGTAAACGGTTAACAAGTATTACATGAGTTTGTATAATTTAGTCAATATTTACAAGGTACCCATTGACCAATACTCTGCTACAGAGACTTGGGAAGTTAAAATGACCACATTAAATGTATATTTTTTTTAATTGAACCCAGCATACTGATGAACTCGAATAGGCAAGCGAAATAAATGATAATATTTCAAAGAAAGTGGCATTTTAAACGTTTCTTAGTCTCGTATAACAAAAATCTAGTTAATTCCTTAATATTTCTAATATATAAAAAATAATAATCTATAATAATTATTAATTTACTAAGAAATATTATTTATTTTAGGAATCAAAAACCGTTATTTCATGACTATGGTCAATGCGTATAACAACATACTATATTAGCAATATACACGTTAGAATTAAACATAGAATATAGAGTATTTTACAATTATAAAAGAAATAAACTAAACCTTACCTTCAATTAAAATAAATTATTTATTAGTACGAGCCGACATATTAAGCTGAATAAGCCAATGAATGACAATTCATGTCTGCGTGAACCAAGATATCTTCCACAGGTATTGCAATAGTTTGACCAAAAATAGTACTGTTTATGTGATAATGTATCCACGACCGTATAAGATACTTTCTCCATTTCATAGTTTGGAGAAAACTCTTCGGAAAAAACTTTACAACTACCTATGTTGAAACAAATAATATTGGGGTTATCTATCTCCATTTCACAATATTATACAATTTATACATATTTTTTTTAGGGGTTATTTGGGCTATTGCTTGGACCTGTAGCACTCCTACCTACATAGATCTATTGTGCTCGCCCGACTATTCCGACCGTATAATTAGGATATACCTACATATTCATATCCTTTTAATTTGTATAATATTATAGACATTATTGAATTTCAAAACAAAATTATAAATCAATGTTTGTACTTCAAACAAAAATGAAATACCTAAGCAGTTACTGCTGAATGGACCGGGGAATGAAAGAAGTAGTAAGAAAAATATTTCTTAAAGTCGATAGGGTATCGATATCTTAAAAAGAGCACGATACAAAAGTTGTTTTTAATACTACTTAAAGAATTTCACTTACCAAAGATTCGATACAACAGAATTCAACTCGCACTCAAAAGGACTTTTATAGTTTATTTTAAAAATGTATCGTTGTATTTATGAGAATGAATGGACTCAAGTGTGCTGTCAAAAATTACGAAGCGGACGCTGTTAAACTTTCCGATATTTTATAACTGATATTCTTCAATTTCAGACAAAAAGTCTCTTTTTGTCATTTTGTACATAAAAAAAGATTGGAAATAAAACTTTAAATCCTATAAAAGATTAAGCTATAGTTACATAACCTGGCAACATTTGTTATAATCAAGCTAAATTAATCAGAGATTATTGTTGTAATAAATTAATTTTAACTAAATTAATTAAAACATATTTAAAAGTGTCCAATACGTTCAACCGACTTAATAGAACGTTAAAAAATTGTAAGGGACGTGTAAAGACACAGACTGTAAATATTTCTGGTCAAACTAAAATGCGTAAGTGTAACATATAAAAGTTAGTACTTGTTAATGATTAGTGATGTAGTAATATCAAGCATTTAAATTACATGCTTCTTTGTAAAGATCAATAAAATAACGTACCGGTTCATCTATCGTATACTTTAATACTATCTCTTATATTATATCAGGTACGTTTACTTCTTTACAAATCTGCCAAACAATCAGGTGGGAGGCTGTATCTCGCACGTCATCGGCATTCTCTTCTAATGGCAAAAATAAAAAAAAAATAGGGGAAATTATAACTGGCCCTGCTACAAGCTATTTTTCAAATAAAATGCGATTTGTTAATTTGGAAAATAAAATTAATCACTATGCGATTCTATTAAATTAAAGTCGCAAAACATTTATATTTCATAATTTACATACGGTATCCACAAGAAGGCGTCTCTTGAGTTCATCACCTAAAATAACTTGCACATTATAATTTTCACGCATTTTAAAAGAAAAACACTGTATTTTTCAAATCAAACAATAGGCACTTATAAGTTATTTGACTGTCATATATTTTTAATATATCTCTAAACCAATAATATATATATAATATAAACGTACTTCTAAGCATAATGATATATGAAAAGCATAAGCACCATAACACTACTTAAAGCAAACTCGACCCATACACTGCATTGTAACTGGTAATATATCTATTACGTTGACAATGTTTACTGTATTTTATATCATACAGGGATCTCATTAACTTTGTAACTTCCTCACTCGAAGAACTTATTCCACGTGACCATGAATGATTGCCTATTCATTTCTAAATCTCACGATGATTGTTAAAGACGCAAGAAATGGGAGTAACAAATAAACAATTTTCGTATCTATAATATCAATAAGAATAAGGATAGGATTTAATAATAATTTATTTATTCATCTATACAATCACATACATTATATAAGTTTACAGATGCTATAATATCACAATAAAGTTGAGTACAACATTCCTATTGGGAAGTAGCAAGATTTTTCTTTATTATGTTGTAGGTAATTTAAATTATTACCTATTTTTATACCGTTCACAACTGTAAACAAGGCCTAGTGGCTGACCTGGAAAGAGGTAACTGCTATTTACAAGTTTAAACTGCATCTGATAGGTTTTTTTATGAAACTGGAAAAAAGGCAAACACGCTGACGGGCCACCTAATGATAATGTGGTAACATTAACATATCTATACGAACAGCTACGGACCTATCGTCATTATATGATGTACACGTAGTACCCCTAATGTTGCTATTCGAGATAATTAAGGTGTCATTCTTTTTTTCTCTGCTATATACTTTTAACCGAAACACAGCTCACAAAACCAGCTGCTTGTTGGCAAAAATAGATGAGACAGAAATGCCCACCTACATCAGTGAACTCAGTCTGCTCAGTAGTTAATCAGTGTGATATCTGAGACCCACCGGAGGCATCATAAGTATTACTGACTCAGTGCCAAACTTGCAGGATTTGAGTAAAGTCATTCTTTCGCTTGCTCCACACAGAGTGCAAGCAAATTGATTTGGCAGTAAATTAATAAAAAAACAGGATTCTCTCATATTCATTCTGATTTAATCAAAGTGGCCCCAACAGTAAAAAATTATTAATGTATGTATCTGGGTCGCTTGTTCAATTTAAATTGAAATATAGAACTGTATTGAACATTTTTATTAAATGTGATTATGATCAACAAAATCTATTAATAGTAATATAATATTTTTTACGTTCTAAGTTTTAATCAAGACGTTTTTAGTGAAATATAGATTTCTCTATTTATCTATACAAAAACCACTACTACTATTACTATTGTCTTAAAGGCACAAAGTTTCTAATAATAAAAAGTGCTTCTATTTCGACTTGAATCCCAGATATAAATAAGGCAATTGTGCAAATATGAACCTTAAGTATTCAACGTGCGAGAAAGTCGTAAATAATCAACCCTTACTAAGCGTAAGCTTTTCATACAGTTTGCGGAAGTATAGACCCGAAATAAACTATGCCACGTGCATATTGCTTGTTTTGAAGAATTTCTTTAGGGTCTAAGGTTTGCTAGTAGGATATTGCCAATTGGGCATTATTTTGTAAATAAACTTGCAGTAGAGATATAATGTTCCACAGACATATTACATATTATTCGATAAAATATGAGAACAATACCCAATCAGTATAAGGTAGGAGAATGAAGTATTAAATAACAGGACGAAGTTTACCACGACGATGAAGAATCAAACATTTTAATATTATTAGTGAAAATGAATGTTTAAATTTAATGTTAATGAATGTGATCATTATTAGTCATAGGCATTTTGAAAGCCATTATATCAAAAAGTAGGTTTAAAGAAAAATAATCATGTTAATCAAATTTAAAACATCAAAAAGTATAAAAGTATGAGAATGTACAATCTAAAATCTACACACACTAATATGTAAAATCTCAAACAATATCTTTTACTAAAAATGTACTGAAACTTTAGAATTAATATGAATAACTTGCCTTCTAAACGTGGCGATGTAACAGATTATTTTAGTCATAAAGTAATCTTTTGTTAAGTACGTTCTTAAAATGCAAATTGGTACCTTGCAATTTTTTTATGTACCTAACATAATAATGCTTTACTATGATTACTTTCAATGAAATGTGTATCTTTATCTGCGAGTTACATGAGTAAAGTAAAAACATTTGTCACAGAAACTACATGGATGCTTATTTAAAATATCTTGGAAACAGTTATGTTCAAAATGCCAATGAATATAAAATAGTATGATAAAAATGTTACTCAAACAACTTATTTGTTAATATTGCAATAAATATCAATAATATATATGTATACATTATTAATACGTCTGGCGTGATTATATGGATTCTAAAGCATCGTGGTTATGAAGATGTTCTGAAAAGGATTATAATTATACTTATATACTATACTATTCAGATTACATTAGACCGATATTTTGATATATAAATGTAATTTAAAAAATATATATTTAATATAACATTTAATAAAATTTTAAGTTATAAAATCTGAAATCAAAAAATCGAATTAATGTAATAATATATTGAAATATTCATGCTTACTCACCTATTCTAAAGTCAATGTAGCCCTCCCCGCCGGATATGACGAGCATCGGTGGAGGGGTTGGGGAGTGTCGGCGGGTAGTGTCGGGGGTACGGGCGGGTGAACCGGCCAGCCCTGGTACCGCCACGAAAAAGGTAACGGCATCCCGGTGTCCGTGGAAACTGAGTTGGGCATGAGCCATTGAACACCAGGGTATGGCAGCGCTAGTCGGACTGGGCGGTCGTTGTTGAACGAGTGCTACGTGACCTGAAAGAAATGTTAATAATGTACATACATATCTCAAATCAAAATCTCTTTATACATATAGGTCTATTACTGGTTCTTATGATGTAAAAATCTACCATTCGGAGTGTTTTTAAGCTAAGATTCCCTCTATTGCAGAGAAAATTTGGGAACAAAGAAAGACCTAGATGGCCTCGGTGGTCTAGCGGTTTAGCACACCGCCTTACATCCGACAGTCACAGGTTCAATTCCTCGCACGGCGCAAACATTTGTATTCATGACTATAATTATTTGTATTGGTCTGGGTATTTTCTATATATAATATGTATGTATTAACGAAAAAAACCTATGTACTTCTATCAGTTATCGAGTGCCCATAACACAAGCTTTAGCTAGCTTCACTTAGGTCTAGATGGCGCTGTGTGAGGTTTTATTAAATTATAGATAATGTAGTGACCATTATCATATGCTATTAAAAATAACTAGCACAACTAAGTGTGACGCAAACGATGTTGCGCGGGTCAGCTAGTGTCTACAAAGAGAAAATATTAGTAGACATATTGCATCTCGTTTTTTACTACATCTTGCGGAATACTATATACTAAGTTTGCTTCTACAATAAATACGAATGCACTGACCTGGCACATTGTTCCTCGCCACAGGGGGCAGTGTACCACCCACTGAGTCCCGGCTGGACCCTTCAGACAGTGGCACCGATATCACTACACCATTACTGGTTCCGATCCACAATCTGCCAGAGCTGATGAGTAGCGCCGTGATCCTAACGAGCGAGAAGCCCAATTTACCGGTGCCCAACATCTTGCTCACGTACGGCTCAATATCCACATCTTTCAGGTGTTGGTATGTGTGCGCGTGGTATAAGCGCAGTGTCGAATCCATTTTAATTGACACCTATGTAAATAAATATGGTACTTAGTACATAAAAGTATGAATAATTGTGTGTAATGATATAATAAATTTTCGAACTATATATATATGTGAATATACATATATACTATGAATCAAAGATAACAACATTAATATTATGGATATCATTACATATAGTGGTAATTACATGTGATATGGGTCTTCATATTAGTTTAGAGTATTAAATAAAATATTTGAAGTTTAAAGTGATATCTACTTAGTATGAAATTAGATGGCCATATATTACATTAGTAAAGCATTTTATATGCAACTCGAATGACAAACATACTGACGGCTCGCCTTATGTAAAGTGGCAACATTCGCCTGTATTACACCAATCATTCGGGAACATCACGTCACTAGGTACATGCCCCATTATCCTGTAATTTCACTGCCACATCTCACCGACAGATTTACAGATTACAAAGTTAGCTGCTCGGCGGTTGAAATAGAAGTACCCACGCGGATAACTTTGATAAAAACAAAATATGTGGTAATAGCTTACCCAAACACCGTCGCCGTCGCAAGCCATCTGCCGAACTTGGCTCTCCTGACGTGGATGAGCCTCCAGCGAGTACAGCAGCACCCTAGACCGTGGGTCGATCACGTGCACCTTGTTCCGGTAACCACACCACACCGTGCAACCGACCGCACTGAGGCACCGAACTGTATAAGGCGAAGTAATGATTAAAAAATAATTTCAACCATATTATATTTATATATAATTTATATACTCTTTGTCCCAGATAAATTGCATAGATTACAAGAATCAATCAATTAAGAGAGTAATATGGTACAAAAGACAGCCTCATCTTTTATGCAATCTCTTCTAAATAATCTTTGAGCAGAGGAGAAAAGACAAGTTCAGTACGAACAATATGTTATTTTATCCTGTGCAATTAATTGGGTATCAATCAAATCGATTAACACTAAATAATAAAACATGTTAAATATATGTCGTCAGTATCTATTTTTCAATTACGACAAAAATTGCGAATCACTTCAATGTAAGAGGTAACTATGACCTATATATGTGAACAGTAACACAGACATTTATCAGATGATATCAGTGATACTACTTATATGTTGCCATTTCAGAGGACCAAGATGTTATATTATCCTGTAATTTCACTGACTACATCAACATCCTGCAACCTAAACACAGTTCAAAGGAAGTTGCTTGGTGGTTCAAATAGGTGAGACTAAGATACCCACATAAACGAATTTTTACAGTCTATAATCGTGTAAATATTAATATATTACAAGATATTTCTGCAAAATTTACAACCTAAAGAAATAATATAGCCTGTATTGGTCTCTAATATTTCGCATTGGTCTCTAGCATAACATAATAACTGTATCAGTAGTTTCATGCCAGTACCTCTCAACTGAAATATCTAGCCAAACTGACGGTAAGGATAGTAATAATATACTCAGGACAATTCACATAGCACCAGCTAGTACCAAGGTAAGCAGAGCTTGTGTTATATGAACTAAGACAACTGATGTATATACATGGATATTTTATTGTAAATACATACATATTATACATAGAAAACACCCGTACCTACACAAACAATCATAGTCACGAATACATGCGAGGAATCGAACCCGCGACCATCAAAAGAAAAACGGTGTGCTAAACCACTAAACCCCAGAGACCGTATAAATTAAATATTATTAATTATTATACTTATACTTCAACTTAGTAATGATTACGAGTGTAGCCATATAATAACTACCTGAACACTTAGGGTCCCCGAGCGTGAGTTGCCAGTAATGTGAGAAGTCCCATTGGCCGTCGGCGAGCCGCGAGAATATCGCTACAGTGCCGTCAGCCAGGGCGACGATGCAGCGAGACGAACACGCTACAATGGACAGTATCGCGTCGTTTAACTTCACCCTGTATAACAATAATACGGAAATGTTATTTATTTGTTTGTAATTTCATAATATACATGACAAAATATATTTCAGATTATTGTATCAACATCTTACCCGCGCAACTTCACCTGCATCACACTTATTTGACAATAATAATTATATTTTGAATATTTTTAAATTAGCTAGATGATGGATGGATAAATGAATGTTTGTTATTCTTTCACACAAACATTACTTAACGATTTAGATGTAACTTTACGGAAATATAGTTCATACATCAAAATAACACATAGACTATCTATATGTTATTCTGATGTATAAGCTATATATCTGTAATAAAGTTTCATCAAAAGTTTCTGTAGTTTTTGCGTGAAAGAGAAACATCCATCCATACTCACAAACTTTCGCATTAATAATATTAAATTAAACGTAAGACAAAAAGAATGAAGGCATATACATATACCTTGCCAAACACTTGCTATAGTTCCCAACTGCGGAGTGAACATATAAATTGCCGCTTCTGGTGCCCAGCCACATGGTGGCCATTATTGTGGACATTTTCCGATCCTGCGGTACGTCGGTGCGGCTCTCAGCATTCGATACTTCTTGAGCAATCGCATCCACACCGGGCTCAGGCGACCCCAGATGCTCTATGGAAACAAATTATGCCACTTACATTACACTGTACATATGTCATTTCTAGGCCCTGAATAATATAATAATAATAATACACCTGGAAAATTAACACAATGTCACATAGTCTCAAGGTAAGCAGAACTTGTGCTATTATGCGTAATAGACAAGTTATATAAATACTTAGATATTTTTTTAAAATACATACATAATATACATATAAAACACTTAGACCGATACAAACAATGATAGTGAATACAAATGTTTGTACCGTGCGAAGAATCGAGCCCGCGACCATCGGAAGTAAAGCGGTGTGCTAAACAGGTAGAACACTGAGGCCGTCATCATCATATTTAACATTGTGGAAGAGATATAATACGTTTTCTTTAAACTACAAGATACGATATAACTTACTGTCTAGTTATATCGTATCTTATAGTCGATTTTAAACATTTTTTCAGTTAACGCCTACCTCGAATATTACATCAAACTAATAATAAGCAATTTGCTCTCCTGTAAAGTTAACGTTTTCGACTTACTTAAGATAATAGATGATGATAATAATAATAATAATATTCCTGAACAATTCACAGTTACTAGTCCTAAGTTAAGCAGAGCTTGTGTTATGGGTTATGCTATCTACTAGATAACTGATATATATACTTTTGTTTTTTGTAAATACATTCATAATATACATAGAAAACAGACGACGCAAACTATCATACTCATGAATACAAATGATTGTACCGTGCTAGGAATGGATCCCTCGACCATCGGAAGTAAAGCGGTGTGCTAAACCGCTAGACCACCAAGACCATCGTCATTACATTTATCATTGTGGTAGAAGTATAACACGCTTTCTTAAACTATAACATATAGAGAAATCTAGCAATCATGGCGTTGATTTAATACTTTTTCAGTCAATACCTACATCAACCTTTAATAATAAGCAATTTATTTGCCTTTAAAGTAAAAATTTTTGTCTTACTTTATATAATTGATAGAGACAAAAAAGCTATCTATACACAATTGATAATATACAAAATTATCAATATTTACCATTGATAGGTGTGGAACTGAGCGGTGGACTGCCTGGTGCGACGCCGTCTGGGGATTCCTCCACGTCTTTTACAGCCGATTCTTTAGGTACCCCAGACTCCGACTCCGCCGGTGGATCGGGTTCTTTTGTAGGGGTCGCCGGTGGTGTTAAAATTGTCCCCTTCACCTGTATTATATAAGGAATTATTAATTATAATAAATGTATATAATAATATATACATATATGTAATAATTATAATGATTTAAAATTCCTCTAATCGTGTTATCTTTAATATCTATATTTATCGTCGACTTTTCTACCGAGGTTGTTTGAAGATGTGTTTCTGTTGAAGAATAATAGTGAAGTTACTTAGGATAAAGGGTCTGACCTCTTAGTCCTTCGGAATGGTAACGTATTAGTCACGATGTACATATATATGCGTCGTTTACCACTTAGCATCAGGTGGGCTGGGAGCTTGGTTCCCATTCCAATTACACAAAAAAAGACATATATATGTACTAGTTGACCCGCGCGACTATTGAGGATACCGTGGACAGCTCACCATACAAACATCTCTGTACTAATAGAGTTCAAATTGGAAGATTCACAGTGTCTGTCTTTTACTTATCTGCATTGTGCATTCTGCATCACACTTGTCATTTATCATTACATTACGTTAAATTATATAATATATTTTTTATCCGTTCAGTAGTGCTTGCGTAAAAGAGTAACAAATTTCTATCCATTAATCTTAACTAAAAACCTTTCGACATTATAATATTAGTAAAACTTACCAATTTAGCGGAGCCAACAACAACCTCCTTATCTCCATTTTCGTCAGCACCATTCGCTACTCCCGGAACCCCGTTGCTCTGACTATCGATGGAATCGCTCTTACCCACGCAAAACAGTGATTGCTATAAAATTAATTATGCTTATTGTAACTACCATAATTGATCAATATTAGAAAATTTTGGAAAGTACAGACATATTACTTTGGTCTCGTTAATAACAATATAACAATTTTAATACTTTTTATTCTTCTCCATTTATATATTGATATTTTTGTATTATATATTGTAGGATTAAAACTCCATCAAATAATAATATAATAGTAATATAATAGACATTAATCCCTATAACCTTAGATAAGTCATTCAGAAACAATTGAAATCGACTATCGACAGTATACTTTGACGATATACTTGTTGTGAAGGCAATACTTGATACGCCTACGTTTCACTGGGTATATTTGAGTCTAAATTGATAGGGGCAAATCTTTTGCAGTATCTCGTATTATTTAAATGTGACATCTAACACAAATGTTTTTTGTATCAGTCATATTTTAACTAATAACATTTTAGTATTTTTTTACATTTTTTCTAATCGGAATAGTAAATACTTAAGTACTGAGAAGATTTTTAAATATATATTATTTACCCCTGAATGCCTCTTAGTTTCCGTTTCGGCATTCATTCTTTCTTCATACTCGCGGTAGTCGTCAGCTACTGCGCCGGGCACAGATGCTACGCATAGTATATGCTTGTCGCTCACTGGGAATGATTCTAGTACTTCTGCTGGGTTGTTGGCATCAATAATCTGTTCAGAGAAAATTATAGACGTTATTTAGACATCCAATTGAAACACAAACATTAAAATAATAAGCAACGGTAAGTGAGGAGTAAGAAAACTGTGAAATGAAATGAAATGAAATGAAATAATTTATTTGCGAAATATTGGTACAGTAGTATAATTAATACGATGCCACATGAAATCCATTGATCAGCAATATTTACCATACAGGCATGCAAATTACGTGAAGGCGCTTGTGCCACTCAAATATTCTTGGACACTGTAAAAGTTACCAAGTGACAGCCAATTCTTTAGTTTGAGTTTGAATAACGTTTGAGACCCCAGTTCTTTAATCTCTCTTGGAAGATTGTTGTACACTTTGATTGCCATACAGTATACATTTCTCTTATGTAAGTCTAATCGACACATTGGTGTGTATAGTCTATCATTAGGTCTCGTTACTCGCAGTGTTGTGTCTGTTAATTTCTTAAAATAGTCAGGATGTTCCCTTACAAATATACAAATGTCTTTAATATACATACATGGCAATGGAAGGATGTTTAATTTTTTAAAAAGAGATCGACAACTTTCTCTTACTCTGGCATCACACACAGCTCTTATACATTTCTTTTGCACGATAAATGCCCTAGTAGCATCCACAGAGTTTCCCCATATTATTAATCCATAGGATAGCTTGGAAGAAACATATCCATGATATGCGTTCAATGCAGCCTGTTTGGAAACTGATAAACGCAGTTTTCTTATTGCATGAACGAATCGGTCAAGGTTATTACATAATGCATCTATGTGAGACTTCCAATTACAATTTCTATCTACAATTATACCTAAAAATTTTGTATTGTCCACTACTTCCACAGATTGATTACAATAATTAATATTTAATTTCACATTATTCGAATTATATGTACCAAATTGTATTATCTTAGTTTTCTTTAAATTAATTTGTAAATTATTTTCAGTTAACCATTTTATAACGCTTTGTAAAGTATTAATAATTTGTCTTTCTATGTCATTTTTGTTATTACATTTTACTACTATGGTAGTATCGTCAGCGTACATAATACATTTGTGTTTTGTTATGTCAGGTAAATCATTTATATAAGTCAAAAAAATGTATGGACCAAGTATACTTCCTTGAGGTATTCCTATTTTATTTAATATTGTTCTAGATCTATAAGTTTTTTTATGTCCATTAACAACTTTGAATGTTTCAGTGCATTGTTCACGGTTCAATAGATAGCTTTTAATCCAATCATTTGCGTTTCCTCTTATTCCATAATTACATAATTTATTCAATGCTATGTTATGATTCAAGCAATCAAATGCTTTGGTCATATCCAAGAATATTGCGGCTACTTGTTCTTTATTATTTAAACCTTCTGTTATTGATTTGACCAGATCGAAACAAGCCAAAGATGTTGAACTATTTTTTATAAAACCGTATTGCTCTTGTTTTAGGATTTTGTTTTTAGTCATAAATTCATTTAGTCTGTTTAACATAGCTTTTTCAAATACTTTAGAAATAATCGGAATAAGTGCAATCGGTCTGTAATTGTTCATGTCATATGTGTTTTCTTTTTTATGTAAGGGCTTTATCACAGTTTTTTTAAGATTACAAGGAAAACAACCTTGTTCAAAAGACATATTAATAATATAGGACAGTGGTTTAGATAAATATTGGGAGCAGATTTTTAAAATCTTTGTACTAATTGCATCGTAGCCTACCGAATTTGTGTTTTTTAATGTATTAATGATCACTATTATTTCATTTTCATGTGTAGGTTTTAAAAAAATTGATTTTGCGTAATTTTTCTTGTTGACGTTATATAAATTAAAATTGCAGTTAGAATTATTATTTTCATTTTCAGTTGTAAAATTTACAAAGTAATCATTAAATAAATTACAAATAGCATTTGGATCTTTATATGCATTATAAATAGCAATGAATTTAAGTAAGTTATTTGAATTACATTACAAAAATAAAAACAATAACTTAAAAAAATATATTACTCCATTATTTTTATCTTAACATATTATACAGATTTTTTCTCAAAATGATTGTAAGAACTATATCAATATCTATTGCATGGTTTAGAAGTAAGTAGAACTTGCACTATGAGTAATATCCAACTATATAGAATTAATTCAAAACATTTTTTTATTCAAAGCACTTTATAATACACATGGAAACCACCTAAGAACACCTATAAATGTTTCTGGCGAGAAGTCGAAATCGCGGGCATCGAAAGTAAGACGGAATATATACTGTACTATACCGACTACCGAGGGAACCACATTAGATAAAAAAGAATTTATAGGTACTCAAACAGTGATATTCTAAAAAACAGACGGCTCTGGTATTTTGGTTGGACGTCAGGAAAAGTCTATCTTAATGGATATCCTACAATTACTGGATTATACATTATATTACTGATGTATAATTACTGGTCAGGTGACTAAGATCCTTACTTTACAAAGAATCCTTCACGGGAATCAACACAGTTTCAATATCTACTATATATACTATCGTCATTGTAAAAAAAGTAAACAAACCATAACAACGCCTTTCGTTTGCGTGCTGGAGCAAATCCACACAAGGGACGACAAGTTCTTCTCGAGGACCTCAACACTTTGTGTAGACTGCAACTGCTGATTTATTTCTTCCACTTCTGGAGAGTGCACAGATTGTGCTTTGCTCATTTCATATGCTGTTAAATGTCATAATAATGCAAAGATAAATAATATAAAAATATTGGTCTGATGATAAAATAATGAAATTGTACTATTATCAATTTTGTAAACAGCTGTATCCATGGCCATTTCTATTACACCTATTTTTGTTGCCGAACAGTTTTTTACCAAAGGTAGACTAAATAATCGTCTGCTTCGTTACCTTACTGAAATAGGATAGACCTATTTCAGTAATAACCAGTAGTTTCGGTTGGAGGGTGCAACTATGAAGTATATGAGGCATGATATAACATCTTAATTCTTTGGAATAACAATGTATAGGTGGTATCACTTATGTCAAATGATTCGTTGATAAGGTTGTGAAATTCGCATCGGATCTTAGTCATATTGAATAGCAACGCATGAATGTTGATAACGTGATGTCCATAGTGCTGTTCATAGATATAGGCATTTACCGTTTACTATTAAGTGGATTGTCATCTTGTTTGTCATTCCAATAGCATAAATAAAATATTAAATCAAAGCCCGAGCGGTTTGCTTTATAAATATATAGATCATTTGTTTGATCCATGAAATACTTAAAATAAAAGAAAGATTAACTAAATTAAGAGTATTTTACGCCACAAATGGAAACAATGGTGCAAGAATAAATCTATATTAAAAATGTATAATTTAAAATCGTGTAAAAAATACACTAAAAACAGTCGAATAGAGAATATATTTTTGAGGACGTATATTACAATTTAACAAACTGGATGTACTAACCTAGGCACATTTCGTTCTTATCCTCTTTGGCATAGAACACACTTTCGCCAATCATGCAGCCGCCGTCTGGGGTTCGACCACCGTTGAGGTTCACGGCAGCGGCACATAGTAGAGTCATACGAGGCTCCGTCTCCGCTATAGGTCTGTACACAAAAAATTCAGATTCTTAGTTATTTAAAATATGTATGAGTATATGTGCATAGTCTGTATATATAACTGTATATTTTGTTGTCACTTAACCCCTACTAAATGGCTGAACCGATTTGGATGTTTATTTTCTATATATTTCAATGAGCCTCTAAATGGCTTGACAACACAATTGAACCCTGAAGATAGCGCTGCTTTTCCTCGGCGCCATCTGACAGTTCCACAAGTATATATTTGTCTGAAAAGATCTATCAATTTTCCGGATTTAACTTCTTGGCGAACTCTTCATTCCGAATTTCGCAGTAGAATCACATAATGACTATTAAAAAATCTTATTTTATCATTACTCTTAATAGCAATTATTTCTATTCTATTTACCTGCAGAATACGGGGACGGGCACCGGCACTCCCCCTGATGACAGCGAGGTGCACGGGCTGGGCCCCTTTTGACCTTGCCCGGTTTTCCCTGGCAGACTCCAGCCGTAGGCCTGCGTGCGCCCATCTTCTTTACGTACGTGCGCCCGAACCTACGCCGACCATTATTTAGTCTAATGTTTTATTAAATCGATTAATCACTAAATAATAAATTGGTATAAAATATTCTACAAATAAATGTAATTCATTTTCATAAATAAACAATAAATCCATCAAGTAGTGAAATGGACTTCCGCAAAATAACACCTACCTAATTCGATTAAATAGATATCATTTTTTGGGTACAATAAAAAAATTCAGAATGTAATTATGTTTTATATGTTTTAAACATATGCTGTATGTCTATGAAAAGATAACCATTTTCCTTTAACAAATATAATGAAAGTAACATTCATCAAAAGAATCTTAGCAGTGTTACATTTTACAAACGTAGGGTATTACGTTAATAATAATCCATATTTCGTAAATATAAACCCCTTGCGTACTTAGACATGCTAAACAATAAAACATGATTGCTTCTGGATACTTCTACTTTTTACCTCATGATTATGATTTTATGTCTCTCCCCAATAATAGTAGATGCAGAATACAATGTACCGTTGTTAATCGACTGTATGTACTGTACCTATATCATTTTACGAATCAGTAAGACAATATACAATATTTCAAAAATATTGATCTAAAATATTAAATACAAAAAAAAAAACAATATAATAATAATTCTACACAAAAAATAATAATAGTATATCTTTAAATAATGTAAGTAAACGTTAAAAAATAACCACAATATCACCAACCACAGTATCTTAAATAAAAAAAAAAATTGTTATCTGTTTAAAATGCGCAAATGAAAAATGGAAAGTGGAAAGTGGACTGTATATTTGATTTTTAGGATGAAAGGAGGCAAGGTACCTGGATTACTCGATGTCTTCCCGGAGGCCGGCCGTCCTTTCGTTCTTGTACGATGCTGCACCAGCACACTATGACACTTCACAACACACAAATATTGTCTATATGCAAAAATATACAAAATCAGTTTATATATTGTCCAAAATACTAATTTTAATGCGGATGAAAAAACTATGATAGCCACCGTTCAACGATCTCCGAATGACTACGTGCGCGACAGCCCGAGTCTCGCCGATCGGGCTCGAGCGAAACATCTCTGTCCTTTTCAGATTCCTTGCCAAGGAAAGAGATAGATGTGGAGAGGACGTTAGGAAAGGAAAATAGGTATACAGGCGCAAACATCCCCCCCCCACTTGAAGGATCCCTTCAAAAAAAAAAGCAAATGCAAAACAAACTAACTAAAATGTAGGATACTAACCAAACTAATAATATATTTAACAAGAGAACGGAGCTTAACTATATTTACTATTTACTGATTAGGAAGTGGGCACAGACGAACTACTGGTCGTAGATACGAGCCAGATGAAGTTCGGACTCTAGCTATTCTAATAATGTCATCTTTCGCGGGAAAAATTTCTTCAATGATACCCAAAGGCCAATGAAGAGGAGGTGCGTTATCTATAATAATTATTACAACATTGCCCACTGCTATGGGATTCGACGGAGTATTCCATTTCTGACGCGTTGTCAATGTATGCAAATATGAACGTCTCCACCGAGACCAAAATGACTGTACTAATTTGGTAAGTAATGAATGACGTTGATTAAGATCAATTTCATTACCACCAAGAGTTGGTGCAGGCAAATATTTCAATGGTGTTGATGTCAAGAAATGGGCCGGCGTTAAAGCAAGCGGTTCGGATGGATCCGATGTTAACGTGCGACACAATGGTCGACTATTCATTACTGCTTCCACTTGCGTGAGAACAGTGCTAAGCTCCTCAAAAGTGAGAATCTGATCTCCTACTACTTTATATAGGTGACTCTTCAGACTCTTGATATTAGATTCCCAGTTCCCACCGAAATGTGGGGCCGCTGGGGGATTAAGATGCCATTCAATGCGATTTTCAGCTAAGACGTGCGAAAATTCTGAATTAAAATATTTTGAAACTAAAAGTTTATGCAATTCATCTAAATATCCTCTAGCTCCTATAAAGTTCGTCCCGTTGTCCGAATACAAATGCGTTACTGGTCCGCGACGAGATAAGAAACGCTTAAACGCCAATAGAAAACAAGCTGCGCTTAAGTCAGAAGCCAACTCAATGTGAATAGCCCTAGTGGTTAGACACACAAATAAACAAATATACGCTTTACGCGCACGTATGCCACGGCCACGGTGCGGTGTTACCTTTATTGGACCAGCAAAATCTGTACCGGTATGAATAAATGCTTTAACGGATGGCGTTACACGACAAGCGGGATGATTTGACATTTCGGGAAAAACTTGTTTAGGGCGCAATCTAAAGCAACGGTTACACTTATGTATTCGACTACGAATAATGTTACGGGCCGAAAATATCCAATAATTTTCTCTAAGAATTGACATCAACAAATCAGGGCCAGCGTGGCAGTGAATTTTGTGAAAGTAATCGATTAATAAATTCATTACATGACCGTTACGCGGTAGTACTATAGGGTGTTGTTTTTGATAACTCAAATCAGAGTTCTGAAGACGTCCACCAACAAGTACAATACCATTTTCTAAAAATGGTTTCAGTCTACGAAATGCGATACTACAATGTTTACCAGATTGCATAGCTTTAATTTCATGCGAAAAGTGAAACTTCTGCAATTGCCTAATTAATTTATACTCCGCGAAGCGTAAATCAAATGCGGTAATGTATTTGCGATGCGGGAGCAGTCTAACAAAACGACAAATATAAACAATACATCTTAACAATTTACACCACGACGAGAACTGATCTGCTAATTTTAACAAAATTAAACTAGGTTCGATTTCAGAAACTAATAATGCTTGCGTTTTTTCCTCGGGAGGATTCGATATACTAGTGGGATTGAACTCCGCTATCTTCCACTCGCTAGGGCTCGACGATAACCAGGGTGGACCATGGAACCACAACGGATGATCGATAATTTGTGCGGGTGTCAATCCGCGCGATAGACAGTCAGCAGGATTGTCTATACCCGAAACATGACGGAAACTATCTGGTGCTAAATAAGACTGCAACTGAGATACGCGATTGCCAACAAAAGTATCCCATCTATGGGGCGACGAATAAATCCAACAAAGTGTCACAGTTGAGTCAGAAAATGCGATAACATTGCTAATAGTGAGACGCTTACTACAAGTGTCACACACAATTCTAATGAGTTTTGCGAGTACTAATGCGGCGCACAGCTCTAGCCGTGCCAAAGATACCGTTTTGGTAGGCGAAACCCTAGATTTTGAACACATCAAGTGAACGCTATTAATTCCATTATTACTAACATGCAAATAAACTACTGCTCCGTATGCCTTTTCGCTGGCATCAGCAAAACCTACTACAGTAACGACGCTATCTCTCGTTATATCAACATGACGCGGAAAACTAATTTTATTTAATAAATGCAATTCACTACGGTACTGGCTCCATAGTTTTACTATCGATGCAGGCGGCGCGTCATCCCAATCACACTTCAATAACCATAATTGTTTCACAAGTAACTTTGCGTATAAAACCACAGGTCCCAAAAAACCCATTAGATCCCATAACCTAGCTACGCATGACAATATAGCGCGCTTAGTGCACTGCTCATTAGGCGGGTTTATTTGAATGCGAAATAAATCTGTGCGGGGCGACCAAGATAAACCTAAAACTTTATGGGTGTCAGTTTCATCAAACTCCTTAAGCGCCGCGAGTCTATGAGAAATAGGAATTGAGTTAAGAACTATTTGCGAATTACTTGTCCACTTAACTAAATCGAAACCAGCTGTTTTAAAAATGCGATCATCTCAGTGGACAATTTTACCCCTTCTTCCTCTGAGTCGACTGAATGGACTACGTCGTCCATGTATAACCCTAATTCTAAAACATCCCTAGCATGCGGGAAGGAGTCTCCAACATCCTCAGCGAGCTGTTTAATTGTACGCAATGCGTGAAACGGACTAGATTTAACACCAAAGCAAACACGATTAAATTGATAGGTAACAATGGGATCGGTGGGTGAAAAACGATACAATAGTCGTTGAAATTTACGGTCCTCTTCACGAACCTCTATGCACAAAAACATTTGTCGCACGTCTGCGGACAGTGCGACCGCGAATAACCGAAAATTAATTATTATATCAAAAAGATTACCCTGTAAATTTTCGCCACAAAACAAAATATCATTTAATGAAATGGAACTAGTAGTTTTCGCGCTAGCGTCTAAAACAATTCTTAATTTAGTGGTCGTCTTATCCTCACGAACCACTCCATGATGCGGTATAACGTATGAAAGCGATTTATCTTCACACGCCGACGTAGGTGCGGGTGAGATGTACCCCTTATCTATATAATCGAGAATGACATCGTCATAAGCTAATTTAAATGCGGGTGAAGCAATTAATTTTCGTTCCAAACATAAAAATCGTTTTTTAGCCAACTGATAAGAATCGCCCAGTGTGGACGGATCCTTACAAAATGGTAAAGCCACAATATACCTACCACTGATCGGGTCGCGTTTTGTAGTACTACTATAATATTTTTCGCACGCGTTATCTTCTGGACTTTTAATAGGAGGTACGTATATCTCCTCTAAATCCCAAAATCTTTTAATTAAATTGTCCAGAGAATTCGATACTATAGCACAACACGTCGTTACAGTGTTGTTACAAAAAGTAGCAGGCGCGGGTCCTACAACAATATATCCCAACGTGGTTTCCCAAGCATAGGGAGAACCTAACTGACCTTCAATTTTATTTGTAAGCAATAAATGATGAAACAATGATGCGCCCAATAACATGTCGATGTCACCTGGACAGCTATACGTGTCATCAGCCAATGGTAACACGTCAAAATCAGACAACTTGCACCTATCTACAGTCATATTAGGCAAACGTTCCGTAATCCTATCCACTACCAATGCATCTAACTCGTACGAAATATTCCAATTAAATCGGGAGTGTATTTTAATATTTACTAATGTGTCGACAGCCTTATTCGTACCGCCGATACCTTTTACTAATAAATTTGTCTTGCGT